ACATAAGTCGATTATTTACAGTTTTGCATACCTTCATTTTTTTACCTTTTCGCAAAAAGGCGCAATTACAAATTTGCTAATATTTGTTATTTATTAACTCAATACAGTTTTATCTTTTAGATTTAGTCAGAAAATTATTTTTTTTGTGCACGGATACTGATTTTGGTGTGTTTTATCAATTGAATTGTGTATTTTTATCGGTTTAATATTAATTTGAGAAACATTTGCGCAATTATCGCAGGGCCTACAAATTTTGTATCACCATCTTTTTATTCTACCGGGCCTGCGCTTTCAGAAAATATATGGTTTGGGGGGTCTTTTACAAACGCTAGCAACGCAGCAGTTGAAAATCAAATCAATAGGAAACAATTGCAGAAAATTCAAAAATGGCGTGGCCAGCTGATTTGAAAAATGTTCTGGAGGGCTTGGCAGCGAACGGGTTAATGGCAACTCAAAAATGTTACTTACTTTCAGGCTAAGTGACAGTGGTCACCATGTAAATGTTAAATCTCCCCAGTGTGGAAACGACTATAAACATTTTGCAGGAGTTCTAACCTTCTGCTTTTCTATCTAAGGCTCTGTCTACATCTTTGATGTGGGAGGGAGCATGTGTGATGCCGGACAAGATCTCACATCGCATGTTGCAATGTTAGGTGCACAGCAGCGTGATTATTTCGTAATGGCTCCTCAACACACCTAGCCATCGTATGTGGGTTGTATCACACCACATCACAGGGTAACCTATTACCATGTGATATGATGCAATGGTAACAGAGTGTACCTGCACTTTTTTTGTGCAATTTAGCTATGGTAGACAGCCCATCCAAATGAATAGGCTATCTACCGCAGCATCTCTGGCATGTAGATGTTTTGAGGGCTAAAACTACGAGAACGTTTGTGCTAGATACTCTTTATAGGGAAAAGCAGTGGTTAACTTTTTTGAAAAAAAATCAATATGCTTTGTTCACGTTTGTCAGTGTCCAGTCTTTGTCTATATTTTGAAGGTGATCCAAGGACAGAGCCCCTAAATATTTGTGTTATTACAGATTTTTACTGTACTATGCGTATGCAAGCTTCCATTTCAGTAAACAATGAACTAAGGATATTGTGCACTTTTTGTATTGTTCCCCGGGCTGCACTTTCCTCTTAATATGTCAGATTTGAGGGTATCGCAATTTTATCTGCTTTTTGTTTTATATTTTCAGCTTCTGGAACCAATCTGCCACCAGCTTTTTGAGCTCTATCGCAGCTCAGAAGTACGACTGAAGAGGTTTACCATGCAATTCCTGCCAGAGTTGATATCCATCTACCTACGCCTCACTGCCAGTCGTGATCGGCAGAGCAACGGCTGTATTGAAGCTCTTTTGCTGGGAATTTACAATCTGGTAAGGGCCATTTTTGAGATAGTGCAGCTCACTTTTTTCAAACTTATTTGTAATCATCCTGTCCATTTGATATCTTATTCTGGAAATCCTTGCTGCAAGGAATGAGGAATATGGGCAGGCTAATACTGCACCAGCACATTGATGCAGAATGTTGCACTGTAGCTGCTCACTACCAATCAGCACTGAAGGACAGGACATCATTTTTTGATCCCCACCTTACTTCAGGCTTGCTGCCAGTTTGCAGTCTTTGCATTGAAAAACAACTCCCTTCCTCTTTCCATTCTTTACCAGTGGACATAATTCAGTAATAAACTGAGAATTGCCTGATTGCATTTTATTTTTTAGCTGATAACTGCAACTGTCCTATTAATATCTACCAGGCATTGCAATTAAATACATGATGGACGTAAAGTAAAGGTGTTGCCCACAGCAACAAATCACATTCTAACTATATGTTTTGTGCAAGGTAATGGAAAACCCCACTTTCTATCATTCTATTTTTCTAATGTAAATAATAAAGGAATTTGCAGTAACTTTCTCAAACAGGCTGAGAAGAAGAGGAGAATGCCTCCTATACTTACACTTTGAATCCCTGTGTCCTACAGTAGAAAACCTGCATCTTGTCATCCCTGTAGGTTTGAAACACGTTTTCCCAGTATATCACTAGATTACAAGATTAAAAACTGAAGAAAATCTAGACCGAACTAGGGATGCCTGAAATGTTACCTGAAGTTCTGTGCAAATCTTTGGGAAAAGTAGTAGGACAATACCACCAGTAGGGAATGAGGTTTCTAGGGGTGAGTTGCCCTCAGTCATTGTACTGAAGACTCCCAGGTTGCAAAGATCTAAATTTGTGTCAGGTTTATCAGACCAATAACATTATATTACAAAATATGGAATTGGAATGGAATTTCTTCTTTTGGGAACAAAAGCTAACAGCTGTGGGCATCACATCCACTTTAGCCCACTGTGCTGCTTTAGCTGAGAACTTACCTATAACCGAAAACTGACTAACACTTGAATATTCAGATTTGTTTCTAATCCTTTTTGTTATGCATCCTGCTTTGTCTTTAAATGTGTCCTACTATGTAGTACAAGCGTATAGTAGAAGTACTTGTGATAAAGGGTATGTTACTATTGAAAAAATATTACGTGTGTTTCTTCCTTGTCAAAAGTTGGCCATACACTGCTCTTCTTTTTAGAGCTGCAGCTAACGATTATTTTCAAAATCGATTAGTTAACAGATTATTAAGTTCGGTTAATCTGATAAAAAAAATAAAATTTAAAAAATGGGTCCAGTGATGGGACTACTAGTTTGTATTGAGGTTGTAGTCCATCACAGGAGCAAGCTTGGAGCGGTGGACTAAAACAGAAAAAAAAAAAAGTGTGGTGTGCAATATAGTGAAATGGAAAGTGTAAAATTATACAGCAATGAATGCAGAATGGCACCGGCTATAGAGAAATACAACAAATCCCAGCAATAGTACATTATGGTGGTATTCTGCATTGCACTATATAATGTACTATTGCTGGGTTTTGTACTCTTCTATAGCTTGTGGTATTCCGCATTGCGCTGTATAATGTATTATTGCTGGGATTTGTAGTCCTCTATACAGCGCAATGTAGAATACCACCAGCTATAGAGGAGTACAACAAATCCCAGCAATAGTACACTATACATACAGTGTATAATGTATGGCTGGGATTTGTATTCCTATGTATAATATACAGCACAATGTACCATCAGCTATAGAGGAATCCAAATCCCAGCAATACATTATAGAGCACCATGTGTGGGAAAGTGCAGGCTTACCTGAGCAGTCTTCCAGCAACTTGCTTCTGAGATCGGGCCTGTCTATCGGCGGCTGTCATCCCCCCACACCTGCTCCTCCTTACTACTTCTCCCTACGTCCCTGTGCTGATCGTGGATGTGGGCGGTGAGGCGGGGAGGAGGTGCGGCGTGTGGAGCGTGGATGCGAGCGTGAGGTGGGGAGGAAGTGTGGCGCGCAGCGTGTGGAGCCGTGAACAGAGCCAACCAATCGGAAGCCGATTAATCGATGATTGAAAAAGTTGACAACTTTTTCAATAATCGATTATGTCGATTAGTTGTTGCAGCCATACTTTTTTTTTTTTTTGTTTAACCCGTGGGCTGAACAAAAAGTAAATAGAGCAGATTCCTCCATCAACACTGCAAGTTAGTTGACTGAGGAATCCGCATTGTTTCCTTTTGTATTGTGACGGCGGCCACTGGGAGATTACCCAAACACATTGGCTGCCGGCTCTGTTCATACTAAGATTTTCCAACCAGCTCTTTCAATCAGCTGATCGAGGGATGCGGCCCGAAAGGATGCCGACAGCTGCACCCACTGTGAGAATGTCGGCTTCATCAAGAACCGGACGAAATTCACAAACTGTATGGCCACCTTTTAGGTTGGATTCACCCTTCAGCCCTTTAAAGGAAACCTGTTACAAGGGAATCATGGCAGCTGACATTGCTGACAATTCCTTATGAAAATTTTAGTTCCCTGGTTTTCAGCTGATGTATTGGCTTCAGAGCCACTGACCTGGAACAAGTATAGGGAAAATGAATTCCATTATTTTCTGACACTCATTTACAGCAAGTGTGTTCCAGATCTGTGACTCAAAAAGCATTCACGCCAGGCAACAAGAATTTTCTAGAAGGAGGCTAGTAACGGCAGCCCATGTCTCTCATGACTGGGGCACTTTACAAATTCTGTGTTGTAGTTTGTGTTTTTGTTCTAGTGCACGGTTTTCTTAGTTTTGATGTGACACAAAAAAATAGCAAACTTTGGTTTTAAATGTGCAATCTAAACCACATTTATATAATGCTGTAGTGTAAGTCCAGTCCTATTGTCCCAAAACAATAAATACAATGACACAGACTTCATTTTCAGTGCTTACTGGCGAATTGTACCTTTTTAATGATATTGTTTCACTGATTTATAGGAAATTGCTGACAAAGATGGAAACAATAAAGTACTGTCATTTACAATACCATCATTATCAAAGCCTTCAATATATCATGAGGTAAGCAAGAAAGGCAGACCAGTACTATATTTACACTATCTTCACAGCCAAAGCAGATGAGCTGTTTAACTATATAAATTAAATAAAGGAAGAGTGGTTAAATGGTTGTTGAACATTGTTAAATACATTCATACTGTCAGATTTTTTTGTGTTAACCCCTTCATGACTGAGGCCCTTTTTTCAATTTTTGCACCCATGTTATATTCCACATTTTAGGCCTGAAAATGACGTAAAACCCCCCAACATTATATATTTTCTGAATGCCAAGACCCTATAGAATAAAATGGTGGTAGTTGAAAATTTTTATGTTGCGCAATATTAGCGCAACTCCTTATTAAACCCCAAAATTTAGTGACAAATTTAATTAAATGCCCCAAAACACAACAAATTACCCATTTTTTAAATGAAATATAAAAGATGAGGTTACAACTAGTAAAACGATACCCAACATGCCCAGTTTACAGATTGCGTGCGACCGTGAAACGGCGAAAAACTGCAGTACCCCAAAAAGTCAATAAAAGACACTTTAAAAGCCCCCACAGGTCATCAATTTAGAAATACCCCAAAATACTGGCCCTAGGATTATTGCTCTCACTCCGGCGTGCGTGGCGATACCCAACATGTGTAGCGCGTTCGTCGTTTTCATGCGTAGGCGCACCCGACGCGTGTTTACGTGGCGACGCGCGTGCTCGCGGGGGCGGGGTACTTTTACAAAAAAAAAATTATTAGATTATTTCATTTTAATTTTAAAAAGTTTTTTGTTTTTTTTTTTAACTTTACTTTGACTGCTATCACATGGGGGGGCAACACTGTACGTCGTAAGTCACGAAGGGGTTAAAGAACTCCGGTCAAAATGTATTCTAAACGCAGCTGGGTGGATCCAGAAGTATTGTTGGGATCCGTCCCACCTGTGATGCTCCCAGTATATCGTGGGCAATAGCCGCTGTATACTGAGCTTTGGGTCATGGGAGGAGGTTACTGTATGTACTCCCGTGACCCTAAAGAGAACTATGGCGAAAAACACTTAACTCATAGTTCTCTTTTAAACTCACCTGAGCCTCGCAGCCAGCTGGCTGTTAGGCCAGTCTCTTCAGCTTGTCTCCCCCCTCCACTCCAGCAGTCTAAGGTCCTGTGAGTCATCACGTCTATACAATGTTTAGGATGTGAGGACGCCAAGGGACATTTCAGTGCTAGAGTGGAGGAGGAGACAGGTCGAAGGGACCGGTCTAATAGTCAGCCAGCTGCGAGGTTCAGGTGAGTTTAACTTTCTTATTTTCGCCCCTAGACATAAGCGAGCACTTAACCCTTGCAGTGCTGCAAGGGTTAAGAATAATTATGCCCGAAGTTCAATTCAGAAGTGTTGTTTACAACAGCAAGGATAATGTTTGACAGGAATCTCTGATTGTTACTTTGTAGTACACTGCCCCTTCTGGTTCTAAGGCTGGATATTCACAAGCAGTACTATCGATCTGAGTATCATTTACCACAATCAGGCATTGTACAAGTTGTAACAAACGTTTCATTATGGATGAGTGAAACCAAGAGTTTTCTTTTTTTCCCCAAAATCCTGGAGATTTCAGCAAAATGCTTTGTAATCAATAGGAAGGCAAAACAATGTTTTTTTTTTCTTCAGGGTACAGTAGGCTTTAAATTGTCCCTGAGAGTTTTGCAGGCTCCTTTCTTCTATCCTGGACCTGTTCTTGTGCCACAAAATGATCCCCCATTTATTTAAAAAAAAATTCGTCAAACGGAAATAAAATGGATGGTGAAAAAAGTAATGATAAAAAAATGTACAAGGAACAGTATACAAAAAACTTTATAAAAGTTGAGAAAACCAAATACAAGGAATACTAAGGAGCTGATTTAAAAAGCAGTGGTATGGTTGCACCACACATTTATAAAGCACGGTGATATGCTTTACAAATGTGCTCTTCGTCTCTCAGGCCTCCAAGCTCTAAAGCTGACAGTATCAGAAATGAAAAAAAGTTCTTTAAGCAATTGAAAAAAAAAAAAAGCCAGGTGGTCTCTCTGCTCCACTGAGCAAAGAGAACTCCATAGGGCTTTGCTGGCTACTCACTGCAGCCTGATTTTTATGAATAGGAATGGCTGCAATAAGTGTAGTGGAGCAGTGCATAAAAGAGAACGGATAGCAATATCCGCTCTCCCTTATACATGAGCCCTTATATAAAGTAGATTACCCAAAATACACTAAGGAAAGCATACTTTCTAAAGACGGAACCTTTTTGTTTTAAAAAAAATAAAAGCTTTTTTGCCTAAGCATCAAGCGAAATTAAATTTCCACTTTCTCTTGTGTATCAAATTTCGTAATTTCTCAACAAAATCACCCAACTCATTCCTTTTCCTAAGTGATGCCCTAAAGAGCTCATACAGTCATATATTTTGGGATATATAAAGTGACTTCCATATGTAGCCATACCTGGGATTTCTACCATCTAATTTAGACAGCATGGGTAATACTTTAAAGGTGCAGAATATTTTTTATTAATTTTCATTTTTTTAATTGAACATAGACATTTCTTGGTTTCCAACGTTCTCCCCCTTCCTTTCCTTTTTCTCTGACAAACTCTGTGGTCCTCTAGGAACAGGTGGATTTATTCTGAATTTTGTAACACTTGAGTTGCACATAGGTTGAATCTATTCAACTATTTATGACTTCTGAAGAATGCGATTTGCAGCAGATGTTTAGAAGTTTCACAATAAAAGGGGATGAACAGTTATGCAGTCAGTTTTATTTGTACATACCGGTAATTCAGAAAACTTTGTAGGTTTTGTTTTACAGTTCACTTATCTGGACTATTTTATATAGAGAGGTCATCTTAAATTCAGCCAAAAAACATTTTATTTTCAGACTGTAAAACTACAAACTGTAGAAAAATTGAATTCTATATGAACTATATAGCGCTTTCATTCTACTTGGAAAGTTCATTTCTTGGGGAAGAAAAAAAAAGGTTACTTCCCCAAAAAGGTTACTAAAAATGGTATGTAGCTATATTATTATATATTATATTGAGTTTAAATGGGTGAAGTACTGACTACCAGGAGATAAAAAAGGAAAAACAAAAAGCTGCTTCTTAAAAGGGTAGAGTTATAGGTGACACTGAAGGTGTGCGCTGGGATAGGTAGGAGGTGAACCATGAAAGAACAGAGTCTTGGAGGCCAAGGTATTAGAGTTTATTGAGAAGATGAGGGTGGTCAACTGTGTCAAAAGCAGAAAGGTCCAGGCGTATGAGTACAGAGTAGTGGCCTTTGGTTTTAGCGGTTAGTAAACCGTTAATGAGTTTTAGAAGGGCAGTTTCTGTGGAGTGTTGCGGACGAAAGCCAGATTCGAAGGGGTTAAGGAGGTCGTTAGCAGTAAGGTGGTGGTTCAGGCAGTTGTAGTCTAGGCGTTCAAGTTTGAAGGTAAATGGGAGCAAGGAGATGGGTCTCAAATTGTTCAGACTGGTGGGCTTCATTGAGGGCTTTTTTAAAATGGGGTTCACCAATGCTTGTTTTAGAGGTGTAGGTGCGATGCCAGTGGAAAGGGAGAGGTTGAAGATGTGAGTTAGAGATTGTAGAATAGAGGTGACCTGCTGTAGGTTGACCAGAGTAGTTTGGGTCCAAGGGGCAGGTAGTTAGGTGGGTGTTGGATAAAAGAGTAGCTACTTCGTCTGCAGTGACAAGATCAGATGAAGAGAGTATTGAATGTGGTGGCAGATTTGTCTTTGAAGTGATTGGCAATCTCCTGAGTGAGAGTGAATTGGTTGAAGCAGGCGGCGGGGGATGAAGTAGGGAGTTAAAGGTAGAAAAGAGTTGACAGGGACTGGATTAAAGGGTGTTAATGAGTGTGATGAAATAGGTCTGTTTGGCTGTGTAGAGGCAGGTACTGTATTTTTGGAGGACGGGTTTATATAGGGTGAAGTCTTGTATGGATTTGGATTTACGCTATAGTCGCTCAAGAGCGCGACTATGTCTTCTTAGTCTTTTAGTGTCATCTGTCTGTCATGGCTGTAGTGGTCGGGTCCTAATTCTGTGAGTGGTGCCTGGGCAAGTGTGTCCATGCAGGAGGAAAGTGAGTTATTGTAGAGAAAAGTGGCAAGGTCTGGGCAGGAAAGGATTGTGATTTTGTCATAAAGGTGGTCTGTTGCAGAGTAAAGAAGACAAGGGTTTAAGTGGCGAAGGTTTCTACAGGTAATGGTACTGGCGTGCTGGCAATTTTTGCAATGTCAGCATAGGTACCTGACCTCTTAAATGCTCTTTTGGCTGAATGTGCACAAAATCCCACATGCACACTTCAAAATCTTGTTAATTGTGGAGCGGGTTAAGAGAACTATGGGGTAACATTTTTATTCCATAGTTCTCTTAAGGGTCACAGAAGGACATATACTAGCATCCTCCCGTGATCCAAAGCTCACTATATATAGCGAGCTACAGCTCGCTATATATTGAGAGCACCGCAGCCGGGACTGATCCCTACAATGAATCCCTACAATGCTGTCGAGACCCACCCAGCTGCGTGAGTGACAACTGGCTCTGCCTATCTAGAAGCAGAGCCAGCTGTGCCCGCCCCCACCTCCCCCCGTCCATTCCCCCAGTTAGCGCTGGAGGATCGGAGCAGGGAATCCCTTCGGGGAACAGTGACTGACAGTGACCGCTCTCTGCAGGGACATGATCGAGAAGTGAGCGAGCGACGGTATGCGTTCGCTCACTTCCCGATCTATAGAGCCAACGTGTGACAGTTTAATTGTCACACGTTGGCTTGAACTAAGAAGTTGAGTGAGAATCACTCACCTCATAGTTCTCCTTTAAAGCTGCAAAGGGGGACTTCATATTGATGACTCTGTGTGGCCTGTACCTTCTTCAGCTGTGCTAGCAGAGCCTTGCATGTTGGGCACCAGGGAGAAAAAGGGAAAACAAATATCAATGGCTATTTGTTATGCCTTCTACAGATAAAGCTGGCTGAGTGTACTTCCTGCCAAGCCCATGTGGCAAGGTCATGTGACTGTGTGCAGCTGGGACTTACAGCTGAGATCAAAGCCTGTCAGTCCCTCCCTGCTAATGGAGATTGAGTGCTACAGAGGAACAGGAGAATGAAAAGAAAATAGAAGTTAATCTGAGTTGATATAATTATTTTAGGTATAGAACTACTGTATGTACTCTTGTTAAACTACTCTGAATCCCCCTTCAGATATTACCACTTGCATGTTAATGCACAGTATTTCATGAGTTCTTGTGTTGCGTTAAGGCATCCTATCAATTTTGAATGGGCTGCCCACATACCACCCAAAAAAAGTGTGTTGCCAACTACTGTAATTGCATGTTGGGGTGCGATTGGATATGAAAGTTCCATGTGTGTAAGTCTGAATTGGCTCTGACCTAAAATGTATGTTAACACACACACACATTGTTCCGATCTGTGCATTGTGGTTCACTACAACTCTTAGGTGTTGGAGTGCAATTACAATATGCATTGGAGTCCTTTTCAAAATAAATGTTACTGCAACGCACAGGTTGTCCATTACTGTAATTGCAGTAAAGCATGTTACCTCAACCCATAGATGTGTATTGACAGTCCATTCAAAATTAATTTGATGCCTTATCGCAGTGCACCTCCTCAACACATTGAAACGTTTTTGCAAAATGCACTGTGAATGTTTATTTATATGTCTACGGTCTTTCTTTAATTTATAAAGATATTCTACTGTGTGGCCCTCTGAACATTTCAGGACCCATACTTGAGGCCCTTCAATTTTACAAAGTTGATCACCACTGATCTAACCAGCAAAGCTTGAGCTGTTTTATAATCGTTAACATGTATCAACGTAAATAGCTGCATTTATTTTATATATTGTATTCTGTATATTACCTTTTGATTGAGTTCATGATTTAAATTTGAACTTATTGGCTTATACATGTGTATTTACACCTTCATATTGTATGTCATGCTTACTTTTGTTTTCTTTGTTCTCTTTCCTTTGTGCATCTTCTTATTCTTAATTCCAATGTTTTGGTTAGCCATCAGCATTAGGGTCTATGGCTCTGACGGAAGGAGCTTTGAGTCAGCATGATCTCATCAGGGTTGTTTACAGTGATCTGCACCCCCAAAGAGAAACCTTTACAGCACAAAACAGGTAAGAAAGGGCTCTAATGGGAAGTGAACATGCTGAGATGGTTTCTTTGGTTACATGTGAGTCATAAATTACTTTTTTAAATGCTTACAGGTTTGACGTACTGACCTTTCTCATGTTGTGCTACAACTCTGCTATTGTGTACATGCCGCCTTCCTCCTACCAGTCACTATGCAGAATGGGTTCTAGGTGAGTAGGAAAGGCTAACCTTATAATTGGCGGCAGGCCAAAATGTGCATTGCCAGCACTTAGCACCTGGGGGCTAGCAAGGAATACTGCAGACCAGAATAGTCTGGTCTTTACAGGAGACTTGGCATAGTACCGCAATCTCTTGTGTCTCCTCTGGCTGTCAGCTATTCAACATATTTCAATGGAGATTACAACTTTTGGGGGTTCTAAAACAATACTCCTTGGTGTGTGAAAAGAACAGTGTACAAACAGAGGAGTCCAGATTTAGTTGGGTACCACTGATAAGATCATACTCTAGATTAGAGGTATGCAGGATCTTGAAAAAAATAATTAGGTTTTTTAGAGGTGGGGGTGCCATTGTCTTCCAGAAAGCTGCATTGACAACCACATATTTTATGACCCTTCTATTATAACAAAATTAAAAATTGGGATTCCATACCAAAGGTGCAAAAATGCTGAGGGTACCCTACAAAATCTTTTAAACTTGTGCCTTGTAGTTTACTTTCCTAGTTTACTTTCCTATGTATACCTGATTATTTTCAGATCCTTGCATGAATTGTGTTGTGTAATGGTTGTCACAGTTCTGTTGTAAATGGAAGGCAAAGCTTTTTTGAAAAAATACACAATAATATAGATTTGTAAAAATGTGAGCAGTTACGACTAAAAACTGTTGATATACATCATATTATAAATACAGCCAGGCAACTTATCTTTAAAAGGAGGCCATTAATGTCAACCTATATATTTTAATTTGGGGGCAGGTTTCCTTTAAGTGGTCACTTTAGGTGCAGATAGTGCTAGGAGGGGCTAGAGATGACATGCTATAGCATGTCAGTTGTTTCAGGTGATGTACATCACTCCTTAATGTTAGTACTAGGAATTATTGTGTTTTTCTTTTTTTACTGCAGACTGTGTGTTGGTGGCTTCCCGCGGCAGCATGAGAAGCGCTGGAAAGAGATGTGTGGTCGTGTTGTGCTGGATCCTGGCTTCATGGTCCAACTACTCACTGGTATCTATCATGCAATGTAAGTGTTCCCAAAACACATGAGATGTGCTGTTACACTCATCAGAGTCCGTCATTTACTTTTTAAAACTAGCTTATTTATGCATATCTCATTCTTCCTTAATACATTGCGGTCATGGTATGTTCCACATTTGAACCAATGTGAGCAACTACTTTCACCTGACGAGCAGCATGGAAAATTGAGTTATATTTGATCCAGTTTTTCTTCCGTGGTGGTGTGAACTTGGACTAATGAACTTACTGCAGCCAATCTGTTTTCACGTAACAATAATTGTATCATACCAGCTAAGACATGACTTCTTACTGGCTCACATGGGTACCTATACTTTCATAGGGCTGTATGTCATGCAGAGATATTAAAGAAGGGTCCTTGGGTTGAGCTGAGTTTAATGGGAATCAAGTTCTTCAGTTCACCATAAACCACAAACATCACTGTGATTTCTTATGCAATGGTGGTCATTGCTAACATTGCCGGAAGTGAGAACTGAACGTGTTGCCCTCAAGAACTAGTCTTAGCTTGCTTTCTTTTCTGTCCAACTCTAGTAAAATCGATGATGCTCAGCTTTATTTCCCCCAGTCCTTCTATATCAACATTGTTTGTTCTTCTGCATTAATATTACTTAATAATGAAAGTATTTTATTTCTTCACGTTTCAGACTGCAGCTATCTAAAACTATGCTTTTAACAAAGCTACAGTCACGGTTTTAAGCTGTTTCATAGACTTTCATGATCATGTTATTTCTGTGAATATTTAGCAAATAGTTCTTACTAGAGTATGTTATTTGTTGCTCTGCCTTTGTACAGATACAATGGAGAATGGGACCTTGGGCAGGAGGTTCTTGATGACATCATCTATCGGGCCCAGCTGGAGCTCTACTCTCAGCCCCTATTGGTAAGTGAATAGTTTTGTGTGCTCTGGGGTCACCGTTCACAGTGAAGTTAAAGTATAAGCAAGATTTATCTGGTTGTGCACGGTAGAAGATAAGTGAAAGTATTGTTGGCTGTCAATCTATGCAAGCACTGTTGCAGGCAATTCTATTTCAAAGGTGAATGAGTTCCATTCTGAGACCGTGTCTGTAAGTCCAATTTGTTTGCAAGTCCAACAAAGTTAGCCTAGGTGCCCAGCTACATCACTGCTGCTTTTACGCTTGCGCCCGGACATCCTGGGCTTGAAATAAAGATACTGTACTCTATACAGTACTGTAAAGTACACAAAAGCGCACACACACACACATGACAATGTATGCCAGACACGTGAACTAACTTACATGATTGGACATGTGAACGCATGTTGGTATCTTTGAAAGTTCACAACTTGAATGTTTGTATGTAGGGGACTTACTATACTCATCTCTTGTCAGGTTGCAAATGCTATGAAAAATTCCCTGCCGTTTGATGCTCCGGACTCATCACAACAAGGGCAGAAAGTATTGAAAGTTGAAGTGACGCCAACAGTCCCCCGTATCTCTCGAACGGCCATCACCACAGCTTCTATACGTAGACATCGCTGGAGGAGAGAGGGTAATGACTATAGTCTTTAACAGATTTCTTACTGGTGCCATGTTTTTTTGTGTCTTTAAATCCTCTACTTTTGGAAGGATAGAATGAATAAATAAAAAGTCTAGTCCCAGAATCAAAGAAATGTCTAGTCCTAGCTGTATTTATTATAATCATTTAGTTGCATTATTTTACATTGTAAATGTAGGTGTATATTATTTTTGAAACCCCGTACAAACTTCCTTCTTGACATTTTGTATTTAAAGGGAGCGGTCAACAACATGCCAGTGTTGCACCATTGCATCCCAGTCCGGAAAATCTTTGGGGGGTATAGAGAATTGGTCATGTGCAAAAAAATTTCTAGAGGAATGTAACTAGCATATAAAGTTCCTGGATGCTATGAGCAATACCTTTTTAATGTTTGTAACTTTTTTTGTTTGTTTGTATCATCGAATCTCCTTTTTAGCAGTATTTCTAGATTTTTGCCTCCATCTGAACTAAAACTGCTGGAGCTTATGAGAGACTCAACTTGGTGGTCTTTGACCTTTTTTTAATGTAATTTATTTATGGTGTGACAGATAAATGTAGATTATTTTTATAAGGACATTGCTTAAGGGCAAAGATTGGAGAATATTACTTGCCCTTGTTGCTGATTTGCCAGGGTCTTTCTACAATTACCTCTGCCTATGTAGATTGTAAGGATGCACCGATACCATTTTTTCAATATCGTATATGAATACCGATATTTATTTTTCGGTATTCACCGACTACCGGTACCGGAAAGTCCCATTAAGGAATTTAATGACTCACTGCCCAGCTTCCTGATACTGAAACTTCCGGTATCTGGAGCATTTGGGTGTGTACGAGTACTCGCCCAAATACTCGGTATCGGCACCGATACTAGTATCGTTGCATCCCTAGTAGATTGTCAGTAGGACTGGTGAAATCTCTAACTTTGCAATCTCTGAAGGCAAAAAGGAAGTGAGAACAGAATAAAAATATCTAATTTTTTTTTATTTTATGCACTGTTCTGGGTCTAAAATTGAAAATAATTAAAAGCCCTGCTTAAACAGTATGCAAGATAAGGACTTACACACACCTGTTGCTTGTGTTCACTGCATTTAATTTAGCTGGTTACTCCCTTTCCAGATTTGGATGAAAATGTCAGGCTATGTTCCAAAAAAGCACAGTGCAATTTTAAATACATGAAACAAATGTGTCCTCCTTCTCTTATGGGTTTTTTCCTCAATTAAAATACCAATAATGTATTTAACTACTGCTAGTTTAATTATTGGAAATCTGTCCTAGCTTCCCACTGCACAACAGAATTAAAATGAAGACCGATTGCACAGTGTTGTCAGTCTAGCTTTGGGCGCCTGTTTACAGGAGGTTATCAGTGTGTATGTTTTCCTTTTGATATCCAGTCAGCAGTTTAAAGGTAGGTAGGTGGCCACGTAAACAGAACTTCTGCAATTAACTTGATTTTTGGGGTAGGGAGGCGTATTGGACTGTGTCCATGAAGGACTCTTACAGCTATCAAAGTAAAGTAAGACACATGTAGGGCATGCAAATCAGATTCTAAGATTTTGGCTGGAGTTTTGCTTTTATGCCAGAACAAGTTTACCAGTAGGTGTACCATTATATAGATAGAAAAGCAACATATAACTTGTCTCTGCAGTCCTATATAGGCATTTTTCTTTAAGCCCGGCTGTGCAGTAACATCGCAATGTCAAAGTGACAGGTTCTGTATTCTAGTATTGTAGCTGTTTTTTTTTTTTTAATTAAACCTGAATTAAAGCTCTTCAAAAGTCCTTATCTGCAGTCAGCCATATAATTCTGGCATTTAAAGGTGGCAGTCTCTATGGTTGCACACCTTCACAGGTGCCCTAATTCCCAGGGTACTGTAATGTGCAAACAGAAATTTAATTTCCTAAAGTAGACCTAGTACATACAATATTTATCTAAAAGTTAAAGGCATGCATGCTTAGTAATGTGTTAGTTATTTATTACCTCTCGTAGAGATCACAGTTACCGCCCTGACAACTCCTTTATCCTCTTTTGCCATGAAAAGGAAGGCACCCTCTTGGTTCAGGTATTACCCAGAGTCGGCATCTGTTTCCTGGAATGTGCCAGCTCAGAGATGACACATTCTTATAAATCTTGGTGTCTGGGGTGCTCTGGCTATGTTCACAAATATCTGACATAGCTCTACCCCCTGCTCCAGCCTCACACCTTATAATTTACATGAGAGAGGCTTCTGTCAGAGTTGTGACATATTTATATACAGCTTACCGACATGTACATGAATTTGTCGCAGGTTCTGCCATTTATTGCACTGCCCAGAGATGATTTCCACATAGAATATATGACACTCTACGAATTCTGGGGTTTGTCTTAAGCTTACATGCATTAAAAGAGACCATGTGTTCATCAAGTCATGCAGCTGACTGAAGACATCATCTCAGCCTAGGCACAGTCACTTGGCTCTTATTTACGGACACTTTTTTTAAAGGTAAAAGGTAGAGTTTTTCTGAAAAATTATATTTTTGCTTTAATATTGTGAAATGATAGGAATATATTCATGCAGACTTATGACGTTACTGAGAGATCCACCTCAAGTTTCTTGTAGCCCATCCCTGGGGCTTTTTCACATTATCGATCTCTGGGCTTCAAGGTTTCCAGTGAGGTCTACGAGATCAAACTCTTTGTTACCTCTATTATATAGCTACCTGAAGTTTAGGCATTTTAAATGGGATGTATTTGTTTAATGCTTACGTGCACTTACAAACTAATGTGCTTTGCCATAACTGATGCTTACTTTCTATGTAATAGGTTTAGGCTGACATAAATATTCAATGTGCATTAGAGTAGCAGCTCATCTCAACATACTCAGTGTGCATTAACTGTGTGTATCCTGCACTGTATGTCCTCTCACTTTCTATCGACCCCTCTTTCACCTTACAGTTTTGTGGGATAAAGTGCCTTATTTTGGTGCCATAAAACAACTGATAACAGAGGTAACAAATCCGTACTGGGCTACACAGCAAAACTGTGCAAAGTAATATTGGTGATGCATTTTCTGAAACATATTCTTCATTGATGACCACATAATTTTTACTCTCTCCCCTTTACTGCTCCAAGATAAAATATGCCACTTCTTTGGTGGGTGTGTAATTTTATGTGGAAAAAGTAAATGGGTAGCCTGATAAATCTGTAACGGAATTCAAAAATTGCAGCTGGAGGGGCTGCACACACACATCCATTGCAAATGGTTTGCTAAATGAGAGTGTGCAGTAGCCTAGATAGAATCTGTTTGCTCCTTGCTTGAAATTGTGCCTCATAGACTACAATTAACAGGATTGTGGAAAACCATACACCACAAACTACAGTGCTATAGAAATGTATTTCCGTCTTTAGAAAAGCAAGTCCTTGTCAGGTTCTGTATTTCATTAGTTAGACCACAGTTTGGTGACATACCTCACAAAAAGGTGTTCACAGAGGTAGGAAGCTCTTTTTTTCAGAATGTAACCACTTTTTTTCCATTCTGTTTCCCAATACCTCTGTTCATGATCATAAATGCAATGTGTTGTCATTTGCTTAAAAAAGAACTCCAGAATTTAAAAAAATGAACCCTTGCAGTGTGGGTGCTCGTTTTGATCTAGGGGCGAAAATAAAGAAAGGGTACTTACCCGATCATCGGCCCTGCGGCTGTAACCACTCCTTTCTCTGCTCCAGCTGTGATATGTCCCTTGGCATCCTCACGACTAATGGAATGCAGTAGATTTGATAACATAACCATCGGAGCTCATGGAGATGAGGCTGCGGGGATCGGTATTGCAGCCAGGGGGGACTGAGAATTGGGTGAGTATTTCTTATTTCTTCTCACCCCCTAGACAAAACAAGCACTTAACCCTTGCAGTGCAGGGGTAGCCCCACTGCTAGGGTTAATCTTTAAAAATCCTGGAGTTCTTCTTTAACAGATACACTAGCCACATCTGTGTGAAAGTCCTTTCACCTGACTGCTCGTCAACTTGTTATGCTTACATATGTTCAAATGCTAATGGACCATTGCAGCATGTAAATCTACTGGTTCATGTCTATCTTTCTTTTATCATGTATGTCTTCGTTTTCTGCTTTGTATAACCTGGTTGCATTGTTGTGGGTTGATTCAGTTAAATGTTTTAATTGTTTGTCATTACTGTAGCAGGTCTTCCAACCTCACAGTTCTTTTGCCTGTTTTATACTTGTACTTGCCTTTTGACATTGGCATCTTCTTATGTAGACCATTGAAAATGTAATGTCTGGTTGTTTCATTAACTCTGTTTAATTTGCACATTTTCTACATTAGTGATTTATTAATCTTTCATAGTCTGTTTTAGTTGCATAGTTTATTTTTGTTGTAAACATTGGCCTAGCAAGGATTTTATTGGTTTTAAATGTAAACTTGCTTTTCAAGCCCCTTGAAAGACGATCAGTCAAGACTCTAGTGGCCTTATGATCTCTAATGCTTTATCATTTCATATATTTTCATAGTCATTTGATTTCATTTAGTTTGCAAATGTACTTATCTGTCACCAACTTGAGATCTTTCTTTGGCCTTTTTTTTCACATGGACACGCCACAGCACGTAAAAGGCAGACACTTTATACAAATTCTAAATTGTTCCTATGTTGCATCCCAGATGGTTTTGACCTTACAACCGACTCGAATCCGGCCTCCCCGATCTTGCACATCACTCCAAGCCTAGGGGATACTCGTGAGGGGGATGTTCTTGTGTACCTGACACCCGAGACCATCTCTCCAGCTGCTACTGAGGGTAGGCCAGATGTCTTCAAAGAGCAGTTAGTGAGAGAGTTGATTGAGGATAATCATTTCTCTCTACATAAACACAGGCTGCTTCTTTATAGAGCATTCAATAACATTCTTTAGTGTATTGGGTTCTCCGTGCCTCTGGTTCAAGCTTATAATCAGGTATTCATTTTGTTAATTGGCCCTGCCAAGCCTATGATTGCAGCATCACCCATGCAAGCAGCTTAGCATGGCTAGCAAATATATGTGCATGCATGAAAGCTCAATAAGCATGCAGGATACCACGGCGAACCCTCATTTCTAAATGTGTTTGTTCTGATTTATAATTATGTTCTCTTCCAGTATTTTAAACTATTTTGAATGTTCTTACAGAAATTAGTACACCTGTAATACTAGTAAAAAAAGTAAGACTAAATATTAAACAGGGTGGTTTTTTTTTTTCTAATCATTTTACTGCAGCCCTATATTGAGATTGTGTTTCAAGAAAACAAAAATGGAGAGATGGATAAATACCATCCCCATCTCTAAACCATTAAATACACAATTTTATATATGTGGCTATACAGATATGGAAAAAGGACTAAAAAGTTAAATATGATGTTATTCTCCACGATGACCTGCGGATCAGGAGAGATGTTTGTCCCCAGGCGCAAGCTCTCTGCATCCAGGTACAAACATCTTTCCCGCTACATGCAGACTGCCACTTACAGATGCGGTCAACCTGTCATTAACTTGAATGGGCAGAGCAGCAACATCTGTGTGGACACCTGGAATTCCTGCCGCAATAATCCACAGGTTCTTGAGGCAGAAATCTCAAGACTGACGTTTGCATGAGGCCTAAGGCTTAAAAGACAATCTGTTTACAGAATCTGCCTTCTTCAGAAATCAAACAGTCATCCAAACCATTAATGCTAAATTAGTAACTTGATCTTTTAATGTCTCCCTTCATTCCCTAACATTATTAATGGCTCTAACGCTTCTGGGCTGATTTCCCAAAAACTGGAGCAAAAAGTAAGCAGTTACCAGAATGAACCATTCTGGTTTCCTCTTTAATCTGCAGCAAAAATGTGGTTTGTATGGGTAACTACATTAGCTTTTGTAACTTACGCTTTTCCCAGGTGTGCTCTGTGCCCTGAGCACACCATCTCCGGGATATGAGAGTGGGGGTTGTTATTCCCAAACAGTGACTTTTTTAAAGTTGCTCTTTTCATATAGATTATTATGTAGTTTTCTGGTAGATGGTAGCACTGGTTCAAAATGCAAAAAGTAAACTTGGGTGCCTGATTTGTTTTTAGGTGCTGAGCTTAGCTACATTACCTGTTCCAAGAGTAAGGCCTTCGATTTAACCTTTCTCTTAGGGTTAGGATATCATCAGAATCTAGTCTGATTTCCGTTGTGCCATGGCCTACCCTATATGCCCAAAATATGCCTTTTGTGCACCACTGAAAATAATTGAAATATAGAAAGCATATATTAAAATCATTGAAATGAAATTAGTGGCAGTTTGCTGGAATATACACAATGCAGTAAATTGTTGTATTTACTCGGCTCACTGTATTTGGAGAGAGATGGGCTGTAACAGATAATTTGTTCCAGTTATGTAATTACTGTGCTTGCAGCAAAAATCCAAAATTAATAAGGCCATCCTGGGGAAAACATCTTCTGTAGATGGATGAGCCTCACATTGACATGTAGACATAGTCTATTTGCCATTAATCCAACTTTATAGGAAACCTGTAATGTTCACTGGCATTAATTTATAGTCTTTAGACATAGGCTTGCTGTGCTTCATGGCATTCTATGACACAAGTTCAAATATCATTAATTATTGTCATATAAAACAAATGACCATTTAAAGTAATCTAAGACCTTCTTTAATAAAAAATACATAAGTTCTGATGTTTAACCAGCATGTTGTTCGCATGCTGTAACCCATAGCATTCAGTCAAAGCCTATACTGCTAAAGCCAGACCAATACACTACATTTTTAAAAAGTCGATTAAAGATCTGCTGAGCATTGTAGATCAGTTGTTTGAAATCATTAATTTAATTCTCCAACATTCACCTACATTCTAATAAAAAAAAAAACTAAGCCAAAACAAGAACTTTCCTAGCACATTGGATGTTTGAAGTAAACACAGGTTCAGAAGATTAAATGAAAAGAAAACCTTCTTTTTTAGCAAATCAAAGCCCTTTGTCTTTAAACTGACAAGGAACATGACCTTGTTAGTGATGGTACTGCCTGCAAGCAATTGCAAAACTATATAGCCCAAACGCATTTGAAATAAGAATTCATGTCCTAGCCCTATCAATCATGATAGAACGGTAGCATAATTTATTTAGCTGCATGTGCATGGCTCTGAAGAGCTGAAAGGAGATTTGTCTCCCTGATATTTGAGAGGACACTGTTTTTGGCGTTTTGTCTGAATTTCTCTTTTTTTCCAATTCTTCATTTCCTATGCAGAGTATGATTGTGGAGTTATTTTCTCCAGAACAGCATCCTTCACGTTTCATGAAACAATGGGGAATATTTAGACTTTCACTGATACTTTTAGACGTGACATATGATGGTTGTATTTGTGCTTGTGGAGTCTAATTTTCTTATGACTTGTGTCAGGTCTGTGCACTGATTTACCAAGTTATATTAGATAAACCTGTTTATTCTTGTATCACAGTGTACACATTGCTTCTGCACTGAAGTTAGCCATCCACATTTTGGCACTGTATATGTGTACTCCCTGAACTTGACCCATGTGGCAGCTTTCATGCGTGATGACATCAGAAGCACACTCCACTCAGGGCCAGATTTACTCTCCCTGCTGCCAAGGCCAGGTTCCTCAATGCCACCCCATCCCCCCTCCCCCTTTTCTTTTTGTGTTTTACTTTTTAATCACCTTTTTTTAATTTTTTTTAATTATGATCTTATTATTTGTAACTTTTTTAATTTATATTTAATTTCACTTTAAAAATTTTGTTTTATTAATTAACTTTATTGCTGTCACACAGGAGCTAATAAGCCCCTGTGTAATAGCATTTGGAGGTGACAGGTTCTCTTTATTAAACCTGTCACTTCCAATACAGGAGTTCTAGCACAGCACTGTGCTGGAACTCCTTTGACAACTAAGAGGGGAAGGCTGCGAGTGCAGCTCTCCTCTCTCACTGTTTACATGTACGGACGTTCTCCGGTCTACTCCCCGCTCTACTCCCCGCTCTCTGTCTGGTGATATGAATGCTGTCTATTGTCTACCACACTGGCTTCTTCCATAGCATAGCATGCTGTCCATTAGAGAGGATCCTGACATAGGAATGAGCATAAACGATGTGAGAGCTCTTTCTTTAACCTGGAAGATGCCGCCAAATAGCCTTGTTTTTTAGGTAGAAGAAGTAGAAGGAGAGTACTATTGTCTCTGTTACCAAGATCTGACACTGTTAATATTTTGTCTGTCTTCACTAACACCAAAAAGTTGCTTAATGTTTAGTTCACATTTCTGAGCTTCTTTTCATGCATTGTGCAGTTAATTGTACTAGTAAGCTTGCATGCTGTAAAGGTTTAACCATTTTTATTCTGTTATCCACTCATGATGACAGTGCACAGTATGGCGTTTCCTTAAAGCTCAATGTTCTGCCTGCTGCAATTTGTACAGCTAATACCAGATGTTTTATTTTAGCAATATTTACCAGGAAAATAAACATGGGACAGTAACAATTGAAGCCCAATTGGAGCTTCAAATAATCCCAAACACAGATATCCTAATGCTCTTGCATAGGAATAAAACTACACAGGCGAGACCTTCTTCCCTCTTATTATGACAGTCTAGGTAGGAGTATGCAGGACAATTATAGACTGCACATAGATGATTAATGTGTGCTATTCCTCTAATAGGAAAACGTGCTCTGTAAAGGTAGAACTTGGACACAATGATGGAGGAGGATAATGTACTCACACTGATGTAATATTGTTTGTAACCAAGAACTATAGCTCTGCTAAAAGAAAAGTTACATCTGTTGCCTTTTTTTTTTCTTGCTATGCATTATTGATGGTAGAAGGAATGGTGTTGTATGGATACAGAGACAGTGAAAGTGATTCCTGTCTAATTTAAAAATAGTTCTTTACCTCCCAGTGCCTACTTTCTCATCCGCAAAGGTTTCAGGTTGATTGGAAATGAACGATCCATTGCAGGGTTTCTCAAACTTCTGCACTGTTTGCTTCATACCTAGGGTTGTTTGGGTGCCCGCCAAGGATGCACTTAGCTTAGTTCCGCAGGGTGTTCATATACTGTGGGAGGGGGGAATTTATCAAAACTGGAGCAGTTGTCCATGGCAACTAATCAGCGTCTCTTCAGTTTGCTCAAGCAAGATTTGAAAATGAGACAGAGAAGCTAATTGGTTGCAGTGCAAATCTGCTCCAGTTTATTCCAGCTTAAAAAAATCTGTGTTGCATGTTTAATTAGTTACTGGCTTGCATAGGTCTGCATGGGATCATTGCCAGCACTTTTACAACTTTGTGTCTATGTGCCTGCACTAAATTTTCATGCCTGTGCTTCCATCAGAGGAGCTATTTCCTAGGTAACTGATGGCCATGGTAGGACTTGAACAGGTAGGTGAGGCTTCCAGCTACTTGATGCATTGATTAATATAAACAGTATGTGCAAAATTTGGTCTAATAATATTATTTGTTACATATAACATAACATTTTAGATTTATGTTGGGTAGGCATGTCTGGAAAATATTTAATTTTGCTTCTGGTAGAGGGTAATGTTGCAGTCTATGATGGGACAGTCCCATGATATTCTTCTAGTCTCCACTCACTGAACATGCTGCTGCCACCTTGTCACAGTTTTTATGCTGGCCCTATTGGCTTCAGTAGGGAGTCCTTTGACAACAACATAGGCAGAAGTTGCAGTGAGTACAAGAGATCACTAAAGTTCACTGAACACACAGAATTTAAACATTGGGCATGCTACAGTAAGTATAGTATTGAACTCCGGCTTCCTTGCACCAAAGATTTGATTTTTTTGGGTGGAGGTTTGTTTAATACTAGAAAACAAATACCGTTTTATGTGCTATCTACACCAACAAGACACATGTTAATAGTCAGCTACATACCGTACTTCATCTCATTCATTTCAAGTTTGAACATGTTCATTGTGTATAATGTAATGCAGTCTAGCTCGTCTTCAGCTCCTTTTATCCTTTATAATGCAGTGTTTTTTTTAAAGGTACACTTCACTTGAAGAGGTGCTGCATCTAAACTGGCCATTTAATGTGAAACCCAATGCAGTTTCAGAAAGAAAAACACTTTGTACATAAACAGTCATGTACCTGTTAAATAGACAGGTGCTTGGGGAGGTCCAAAAGGAAAAAAGTATTTCCAGAGATATCCACCAAAGTAAAAGAGGAGAGTCTGAAGAGCCCTTTAGGTTTAGTATGTTTTCAAAAATAGTGTATAAGTTAAATAGGAAAGTTTTTCCTATCCCCCGTTTATAGGCTAACTAGGTTGTGGGTAAGCAGAATGCTACAATGCAACCTTCCAGTGTCTCTTGTGGAGAATATTGCTGTCTTCACATAGAGAAGAGGTTGCTCTCAATGCCTTGAAATGCTCAAATGGACATGAATGAATGCTAAAGACAACTTATTTAGTGTCAGGGGAAAAAACAGACGTTTGTTTGATTGTGTGGCAGAGGTGCCTGTGGTTTGTGTGGTGCCTCTGCCACACAACCAAACAAACGTCTGGTTTTTTTTTTCCTAACACTATCAAGATGCACCTTTTGAGAGGAAGCAAAGAGTAGTATAGCTACTCTTTGCTTCCATAAAATATAAATGTGTCCTTCATATGAGCTTCAGAATGTCAGGTCTTGGCTAGCATGTTACCTTTTCTTTGACTGGAGGGAAGGTAGATACATGTGGTACCTAAAATAAAATAAATTTTAAAGTTTGGTTGGATAGGCATCACATGTAGTCTGTGCTTAAATTTGCTACGGTATATCAAAATGAACACACAACTTCAGTGTCTCAGGGTCTTTGAAACATTTGACTTTGCATTTTGTTTTTTTTACTGAAGGTAAACTCTGCCTATTCATTTTACATGATGTGCTCATTTTGAAATTCCCAAAGTTGTGATGGGCCTGTCTTGAGAGCCTCTGTCAACGAATGATAGTCAACTGTACAAGTAGATTTAAAGCAGGATGAAAGTACCCTTCAAAAGAAGAAGGGATATTCACCTTTCCTATAAGTGGCGTGTTAATCTTCTGAACTCCGAGTACAGCTGCTATCCCCAATGGATGTGTCAGATAGCATGTCCTCTGCTGGGTTTTGTGGTTCCTTCCGCTGACCCCTACATCACTGCAGGACACAGTAGCAATGTAGAGGTAAGTGGGAGGAAGCATAGTTGCCAGTGGTAGACACACAGACACAACTGGAATTGTTGGATAGCAGGAGTGCTCAGAGCTCTGCAAGAGGGTGACGATTCCACATGCCACCTGTCCTGGTGAAGAGTGCTTCTCTTCTTTTGCAGGGTGCTTTCCTTTGATTTTGTCTGGAAAGAGGCAGGGTTGCTTTAAATAGTGATTCAGTGTCTTTCTTACTGGAAATTACACCTCAAGTTCTAACCATTAGAAATTTCCAGCATAGTAATTTCTAGTCAATAAAGTATTCCCCACCCTCATGTAAGGGTAATTTGGCTGCTGGCTCGCTAGTATTTTGTTTTGCTTTATTCGGGATCCACATTAACAGTATTAGACAATATTAGAATAGGCTGACCTTTTTTCAACCTTGTGTACTATGTTATCATGTTTTTTTACTCCTCACTGATTGCAGCTGAGACTGAGCAGCAAGGAGGAGAGGAGTACTGCCAACTGTACCATGAAACCAGCTGTCAAGGGACATTTTAAACCTGTGTCGAAGGACAGCTTGCTGGGTGGAAAAATCTTTTTCACCTTAAAGGGTCTTAGATTAAAAAGTTTAGAGTTGTTTGTATTTTCCTAATTTGTCTTAAAAATACAATCATTTTACAATAATTTAGAAGATTAAAGAAAGCACTTTCCTTGTAAATGTTTACAGAAACTGCTGCCAAATATGAACTATTCAGCTTATAAAAACTCACCGGTGTATAATCAATGAACAAAAACTCTATTCTAATCCGTTCCCAGGGACTTCATTATTCCCCATGAGGTGCTGTCGTCTTGTACAGCATAGAGAAGTTGAAGTCAGGTTGTGAATCGCAGCCCTAGGTGTCAAAGCTCTCTGCATACATTAAATCCGGGGGGTGTGGTTAGAGATGAGGGTTTAGCTGTCGACATTTAATAAAATGTCTAAACTTGCAAATGAGTAATAGAGATGCCTAGTCTGTATAGGCTGAACATTTTGGGGAATGAATGGGTGCATTTGAAACAGCTTATGGAGCAGATTGTGAAGGTACCACTGTTTGTTTAATGCTTGGGGAACATAAAGGTTCACATTATCATATATTAAACTCTTTTCTGTAAAATGTATGTGTGCTACAATAGGATAATCTAAATTGTTTTTATATTTTAGGACCTGAAGGCACCTTTACTGGAGAGGACTCCATTAATCTTAATGATGCAGATGAAGGTTTCTCATCAGGGGCCTCGGTTAGTAGCCAGCCTGTTGGAGCCAAACAAGCTTCATCTTCATCTTCATCCCAAAGAAGTGGTTCAAGAAAAGGAGGCAGCGTTCGATCAATCAAAGAGAAGGAGCAACCTAGTCCATCAAAGCCTAATGAAAGTCGGGAGAGCACACCAAGGAAACAGCCTGTTTCCACAACTGCAGATACTTTACTTGAAGCAATTGAGCTATCACCTTTGAAAAAGCACCTAAGCCTCCCAGCAGGCCATGTGGTTGCAAAAGCAAATAGTCTTAGTCTGATCCGAACCGCCAGCACTTCATCCAGTAAATCTTTCGACTATGTTAATGGCAGTCAGGCAGGTGGAAGTGGTGGAATAGATGGAGTGACAAACCTTTCCACTTGCAACACCAACCGCTTTTCAACAATAAGCTTACAAGAGGACCGATTAGGCCAAGCAGGAGAGGGCAAAGACCTATTATCTGCTGGTGCCCCGTTGACCAAACAGTCTCGATCCCCAAGTTTCAATATGCAGTTAATTTCCCAAGTGTAGGTTCCCTACTGTCTTTTAGAAACTGTGCAGCTTTGCATAGGAAGAGAGAGTTTTGTTATCATTAAGTTCCCACTCCTTTTGATTTCCCTCAAATAATTATGTTCAAGCAAAGCAAGAGCAATACAAATTACTGTCCCCAAATTCTTGATCCCTGTTCGACATACAAGCAGTTTTTCTTGTCCAAACTCCTAGCCTTTTCTTCCCTTTCTGGGTGAAGTGCAATTTAGGAAAAATCCCCTTTCATCACTGTGAGTCCACAATGAATTTCTGCCGGAGAGAGGGTCAACTTCAAGGATGTTTTTGGAATATGCTTATAGCTTGCACTCAAGTTACATGATGTCTTTATCCACCACATGTCCATGTGACTTACTTTAAATGTCAGTGGACCATTTAGTTTGTGAAATTAGTTTATCAATAACCCAGGTTACATCTGTCTGTTTACTGTGGCTCTGGACAATCCCATTTCCTGCTTCCTTCTCGTAATCTTCAGCAAACATGTACTTTAGTAGATAGCATTTATCATCTGTTGACAACAGATACATTCTGATTTCGGTTTGTTTCATTTTCCATTTCCCAACATCTACGTCTTCCCTTTTTCCACAATGTGTGGGGTTTGTCTGACCTAAGGATTTAAACTTGGACAAAAAAAAAACCTAGATGAAAACCAGATTCTTGTCTTTTAAGGATGTTCGCTTTACCTACTGGCTAATGCTTGCAGTTGGATGTCAAGTTCAATGTCGGGTAAAAGGAGGGACTCCATAGGCTGTCGTTTTGTTTTTGCAAACAGCCTGAAGGGCCCTCTCAGCTGCTCCCCTAAATCCCTTTCCCCCAGTATCTATTAAGATCTCAAACCTACTTGTGGTGTTTGTTCCAATCCAGCCAGGCCAGTTATGAGAACACATCAGGGAGTGTCATACAGTCTGCTGGAATTGCTGTTGTACAAAATGATATTGTGTTCTCTGTTCTTTTGACCACACTGCCATTGATATTGACCATTCGTTTTGTAAGTTGTGATAACATCCCTAAACTTACTCGATTCTGGAAGGGTGGGGGTAGTGGGTGTGCTGATTTAGTGCTGCGCGACTCTCACAACCTCCAACAACCAATTAAAGCAAGATTATATGTTTTAGCTTTCCTTCCGCTAGCTGTGAATGTATTGGGTTGTTCAATGGCAGCATTTGGAAACTAGTTACATTATCCATAAGAGTACTATGTGGTTGAAGATGTTATTTTCTTGTCCAGTAGCTCGGTTTTATTGGAGCAGTACTAGTCTGCTAGTGTCCCTTGGCTTTTAGATGTTTACACTGTTACTGTCTAGAAGGCAGCCTAAAACCTTCTGTCATTTGTTTTGGGCAACTAAGTTATTGTTAGCTGCAGATGCAAACTACCGAGACTTGACATTGTGTTTCATACTAGTTATTCATTCTAACAACAGCCTGTCCTCTCCTTGCCCTATAAACGTAATGGCTGGTTACCAGTGCACACAGGTCTACTCTGTCATGCTGTGTGCTTGCTGTCAAGTGAAATATTTTTGTGTTCTGACATCTGCCAAGAGATTCTAATGTCTGTATTCTTCATGCTGGATGACTCAGAATAGCAACAGCCTAACTTGCAGCTCTCTGTCAAATGAAGCTTGGAAAATGTAGCTGCTAACTGGCACCCCTAATAGAAGTTCAGAAGGGACCAGTATACTGTATCAACAAGTGGATGAAATGCTGGCTGTAAGTCCTGTCTACTGGGCTGCTGCTATAGAAGTGGCAATAATTATATTAACAATTATATTGTGCATATGCAGACCTATTCCTTTTGCTGGAGACAGCTGATGCAATGGTTGGCTCAGAGTCAAGGTCCGTGTTGATTTGGCTGAGCTTATAGAGCAGTAGCTTCCATATGTTGCTTTCCTTTTATGTAAAATCTGTTCTGACATTTTGTAGAATGTGGCAGAGTTAATGTTATATATGCATTGAGAAATCTTAGTAAGGGGTTACTAGGCCACATTTGATCAGGCTTATTTAACCCAAAAATGAGCAATGTTCAGAGGGCTTATACCCATAGCAACCCTTCAGAATGAATCATTAATCAGAATTAATTTGCTTATCTGCTTACAGTAAACTGAAATTTGATTGGTTGCTCTGAGTTACTTCATCATCACCCTTTACAACGTCTTACAAATGACTTGCTTTATTCAGTAGCTTGTCTAGTTCACAGTACAGCTTGCAACATATAAGTTGAGAATATTTAAAACTAAAAGACCTTCTTAAGAGCAAACACCACAAGATGCCAGAAAAGCTTCTGCTGTGCCCTGTCTTGAGCTCAGCATCCACATTACAGTCTGACAGTACAATCTTGTACCAAAACGAAGTAATATGAGGACCTAGATAAACTATCCATTCAAGTTGCGTCCAGTCAGGCAGGTTCTTGCACTACGTAGATGTTGGTAGATCTAAAGGAGATTGTACAGTCACATCGTAATGTATGTAGTTAGCTTAGCTGAGGCTTGACTCTTCCTAACTTCATGGCTAAGACCCACCAACTGCCATTACTCTGTCCAATAAGATTGCCCCTTTCTGGTCACTGAGACACTTTCACTGAACAGTGGAAAGCCACTTGATGAAATGTAGCTATGAAGTTGGGTCCTGGTAATAAAGGCAAAGTATATTATTGAAGGGCACAGAAGATGTTTATATGACTGATAACGGTAGTAGTAGGCATGTTAGGAGCTGTGCTGTTAGGCAGGACTTTTACTTAATTCTCGTGCGTTCAATTACCATGGGTTGTGTTAAGGCAGCCCATTCATTTTAAATGTGCACCCAACATACAGGAATGGACCAAAGAAAAAAGAGGCATGCAGCATTTTTCCAACACAGGACCACAACTCACAGTAGTGCATTACCATGCATTGTGAGGTGCTGAAACACAGGTGCATTGGACCTGCATTGCCTTAGTGTGTTAGGGTGCCATTTGAAATGAATGACACCACTATGCACATAACGCAACAAATTTCCAAATTTTGTTTTTACCGTAATAGGGTGTAAAGGTTTACTTTAAAGAAAATGGGTTTAAGCAGGAATTTGAATATTGAGCATTTCTACATTATATCTGCAGGATTTAGAACGCCATCTTCCCCTCATTATATAATAAGATGAGGTTTAATCTGTTTATATTTTTCATTCCTTGATTCCTTCTTTCCCCCCTCAACATGTTAATGAAATGAAAAAAAAAATCCTTTCCAATTTTATTACATATCTTATGTCATACCCAGTGACATCATCACTAGGTGTCTGTGCTTCTCTTTGGAATGCAGGCAGCTTATGGGTGGTGGGGGGGGACTGACTGGGTTCTGTAATAACTTCCTGAAAACATCACAGCACCCAGCCTCAGTACTTTTCTCAAGAGCTCTCAGCCCTGATGCAAGCAGTGTGATGGCACTTGGGAGGAGGTATGCAAATATTAAAATGCCTTGAGTGGATGTCAGTCTGGAAGTGTGAGCATTACTATGCAGATTGTATATGCATGCAGACTGTCCTAAGTAAGGCCCACATGTTATGCCTCCATAACTAAAAAAAAACCAGAACACAAATGAATAAAAGGGGCGGGCCAAGGACAGTCAGGTTGGAGAGGAAAGCGTTAGTTGATGTGAGGCATCCTTTAGACAGGATCTGTAGGACTTGCTGCAGATACCAATGTACCCATTGACAAGCTCAGTGTGCAATTAAATCAGAGTAAGCTATTTTAGTACAGGAGAGGAGCCAGTACAACTCTGCAAGACTGGAAGTAAGACTGGAGTTTAGTTTTACTTACATTGACTCATCATAATATTCATGTTACGTTCTGACTATACAACATCTGTAAGTCTAAACTATTAAATCAATTTGTATACAATGAGGTAGACCCTTGCACAGCATAGTTGTTAATAGATCTAAAGGATATTGTAGCTTTAAATCGGAGTCTTGGAAACAATTCAAGCTGCTCTTTAGCTACCTAATCTTCCACACTGCACACTCAGAAGATTGGAGACCGTGTATGAGGTCAGGCATATAAAAGGCCAGTAATTGTCAGACTTCATGTGACATCTGACGCGCTATGCACCTCAATAACAGCAGTTATAATGGATTTCCCTTTAAAGCAGATCTATCATTCATAACATTGTAGGGGGCCATTTTGCTCACTGAACTTTATCCTATCAGCCCCCAGTGAGCTAATATTACTGTGCAATGATGGAATGAAGTACAGATATGATCCCAACATTTCTTGTCATATGATGAGCAGCATTCTGACATACTGAGCCTGCACACAAGATGGTTGCCTCATCAGCATATATTTTAAAGACACTTTGTAAGCTAATATTTGAGGCAAAAGGAAGCAGCAAAATGACATCTGATAGTGTTCTGCAAGAAGGTTAAAGGACAAGAAGCCAGCTGTGCATTGAATGATATTGTTCACATCCACAATATTCATTAATGTTATTAAAGTCATTGTTATATGAATCAATTTAACAGCATTATATCATTTGGTTATAGTGACCCTTTAAGATCAATTCTGTTTAAGATTAATTATTAGCAGTTGCTAATGTATGTTGATGTAAAATAGGCAAGCATATATTTTTTTAAATGATCCTACAAATATCAAATCCGTAACTAAAACCATAGATTGTGATGCATTACTTCCTGTATAATATGTATATATCACTAGAATTCTATTTACATGGAAACCTTTACAAAGCTGGGCAATATAAACTGCGCATATGGTCAAAAACTACCTAAGCAGAGGATATCTTCAGTGCACCCTGGAGACACTGAACATGCAAGGCTCGTCTTTTCCTACAAATGTCAAGCTTGTTATTGTTCCCCCTTCTCCAGAAACTTCTCGATTTGATTTGTTAAAAACATAAGTCGTCATTGAGCAGACCTTGACTTTTAAAGGATGTGCCCATAATTTTAAATGAAGGTACCCTCTGGGTTTTCTCTGTTATACTCAGTTTGAATTGCCAAGCTTGTGACAGGTTCACTTTAAGGTGTGTTTTATGTCACTGTCTGTGAACTGGGTTAAGGTTAGAGTAGGGTGTTTTTAAGGTGAAACTAAACTCCAGAGTTAAACCTTAAAAATACATTCAAGTACCTCAAGTATTAACAAAAATGTAACTTATTTGTGTATCACCCGGCTGTAGCCCCTCAATCTCAATTGGTGCTGACACTGCCCTTCCTTCTGGAGGGGGGCTACTTTTGTTCCCCATGGTACCTGTGTGTGTTGTGAAGTAGTCTCTACTCCAAGCTCGCTCCCATAATAGACTATAATTTCAATACAAATTAATAAACTAATCTTGAGATTTTAGTCCGCTCCGGGACCGAGCTTGGAGCGGTGGGTACTTTACAACACACACAGGGACCATGAGGAACAAAAGTAGCCCCCCTCCAGAAGGAAGGGGGACAATGTCCACACCAATTCAGAGATGATTTGAAGATCTACAGCTGAGTGATACCCAAATATTTTTTTAATGGTTAAGGTACTTGAATGCATTTATAAGATTTACCTGCTGAGTTTAGTCTCGCTTTAAATCTGCCCACTTCTGTTTCTCATATCCTCCAGTTTGTGGAGCTGAAGTGTTGGTCCCAAAGTGACCCTGAATGCTGCCTTCATTTCTGTTATCCTATGCTACATGGTGGACCCATGGGCTATGGGGAAATCCAGACCCTCTGGAAGATCACATAG